CCCTTCCTTCCAAGGAGCCGTCCCGGAATCTGCCCATGACACTTTCGTTTGTGTCTCGTGGCTGGACTCTCGCCACATGGCCACACCTCGGGGCAAAGCCGAGGACATCGCCTCCCCAAATAACCAGTGCTTGGTAACTACAGAAGGAGGCAGAGGAGGATAGAGGAATGGGCTCTGATGAGGCTCTGCTGGAGATCCTGAAGCAGACCAGGGACCCCTGGCCCAAGGACCCCTGCCACAATCAAGCCAGGTTTGCACACAGAGGGTGTGACAGACTTAGTCTGCAAGCTGGTTGTACAAAAAGATATCATCCCTGTAGAAACTTGTGAACCTGTGTCTGGTGGAGAGGACGAACAGGGGACCCTTGTTATGTGAACTTCCAGTTACCCCCTCCCCCACTGGGTACAAAGTTCAAAGAATTTCCAGAATCTTTATTCAGAGAATCTGAGGCGACAGCAGTCAATAAACCTGCTTCCTGAAAACCCCTCAGGTGTCCAGCCTCTCCGTCCTGCTTCAATCCTGGTCTCTGAAAGGGGAAACTGGGGCTCAGAGAGGTGAGGAATTTCCACCCCGCCACAGAGCAGCAGCAGAGGTGGGGGTTTCTTGGGACTGACCGTTGGCCCTCCACAGCACGGCGTCCTCTCTCGCGCTCTATGTCCAGTCACAAAGTGGTGCTCCTCTCGCTCCCAGCCCAGCCTGGCTCAGGGCTGTTTCTGGATCCTCTGACTTCTGGGCTCTACCACCTGTGAACGCCTCTCCACCTGCCCGGCCTCACACACGGAATGTGGTGAGGTGCTGCCCGGGCACACACTGAGAAGGTGAGCAGGGACCCCACTGCCGCTGGCCAGAAGGATATTATGTCTCTCACTCTGATTCCTCTTCACGGGCCAACACAGAAAGGTGGCACTTCCCAGGCTCCCTTGCACTTAAACTGAAGTCATGTGACCAGTTCTGACCAATGAAATGTCTCTTTCAAGATGACCTCGGGGGCTTCTGGTCCAGAACAGGAATTCACAAACTGCTGCGCATGTGCATCTCCTGGGGGTTGTATCAAAAAGGCTGAGCACCTCCATTCCAAATAGGCAGCTGGGTGACACTTGATGCTCTTGGTCCTTGAACAGGGTGAGCCCAGGCTGATACTGAAGCTGAAGAACCGCCATCCCCCATCGCACTGAGCAAGAAATAAGCCTTCCTTGAGTTAAGACACAGATTTGGGCTGTGTTTGTGGCCTCAACACAACCTAATGTACCTGATTAATACTTTGGAATAAGGAATTCTCGTTTAGTCAGTCAACCCATCTCAGTTTTCTTTCTTATTTATTTATTTATTTTTATTGAGGATTGAACCCAGGGGCCCTTAACCACTGAGCCACATCCCCAGCCCTTTTTATCTTTTATTTGGAGACAGGGTCTCCCTGAGTTTCTTGGGGGGGCCTTGCTAAGTTGCTGTGGCTGGCTTTGAACTCGTGATCCTCCTGCTTCAGACTCCTGAGCCCCTTGGATTATAGGCATGCGCCACCGCACGGGGCTTGACTCAGTTCTTAAGCACAGACTCATTCTGTGCCCTGGGCACTTCACGCATAAGGAGATGCTTAAGCTTGGGGTAGCACAGGTGCCCTTGACGTTGACAGTCTCCTTAAATTTTGCATCTAAGCACCATATAACCTCACCCAAGTCCCAGCCCTGCAAGTCCACAGGGGAGCTGGGATTTGAACCAGCGACCTTTGGACTTATGAGCCTGTGTTTCCTTTTGGTTAAGCAAAAGGGTAGCCACATTTGTTTGGGGTATTATTTTGGAGATAGAGGCTGTAGTAGCGACCCCAAAATTCATGGGTTCCCTTACATCCCTCTGGTGCCAAATGTGGCAATTTAGGGACCCGAGTCACTGCTAACCAGTCAGTGGAGTGGCATTCCTGACACAGCCTGTCCTTTGAGCTGTGCCTGGGTTGATCCCTCACAATTTCTCACCCTTGACACTGCCCACGTGCTTCCTGACCTGGCCAGGCCCCAAGGCCTCTGCCGCCCACATTCTCCCATTCTTGGTTATTAGAGAGAAAAACTTCCAAGAAAAGCCCTTTCCCTGGCCTAGAGGGCCCTGCAAGCAGGAGCCTGCCCTGCCCCTCCCCAGCTGCCTCCTGCACAGGCGGGCAGTGCGTTACTGGCTGGAGCCCACCGCACAGCAGCCACGGCTGGCAGCGGAGAGTGCGTGGAGCAGGTGATGCAGCCCTGACCAGCCCCCCTCCTCACACCTCCTAACTGTCCTCTTGGCTCCCAGACAAGTAGTTCAGCACGGGGCCTCTCGGGGAAAACCCATCAATGACCTTAGAAGTCACAGGGGTCAAAGTAGTGAGCACCTGAGGACAGAGAGCATAGTTTTGGAAGGAACATATGGAACCTTCTGGAAATGTGGCTTGATGGGATGGGGATTATATGGGTAGGTACATGTGATCATGTATACATGTATGGGGAGGGTCATTAAGCTTTACATTCAATACTAGTGCATGTAGCACTTCTTCTTCTTCTTCATTATTATTATTATTATTATTACTATTATTGTTGTTGTAAATTTCTACCTTTGATAAGATGCTGGTCCATGAACACCAATGCAGCCTTCCTGGGAATCGTGAGTTCCACCTTCCTCTTCTGAACACAGGTCTCTACAAGGGATGTGAGGGAAGATGTCTGGCGTCCATGGGCAGTGTGTTGGCCAATATTAAGAATGACATTGCTAAACTCTGAAAAATGAAATCTGGTATTCAGTAGAGTGATATGGGGTGTCTGCTTCTTTTTGTTAAGCACTTTTCTCTACATGTTCCCCCTCCAAGTAAAAAACATATCACAGAGAGCTCAGAGGTGAAGAGAAGAGCCCAGAGATGAAGCAGCAAAAACACATAATGTAAACTGAAATTTCAGTTCAGGAGTCCTAGGGACCTGGGCTCTCTGGCTCTGTGGCCTCAGGCAAGTTATTTAACCTCTCCGCACATTTCCTTTTTTGCTGAGGTGTGGATCCAGAGGAAACAACAGTTTTATAAGTAATACTGAGTACGAGTTCTGGCTCTTGCTGGAGCGATACATGATCACTTTCATTGTCAAAACCAGTACCCAGAAAGGACATGAAGGTGAGAGTGGTCTTTCTGGGGTGCAGGCCATTAGGGAGTGGGCAGAGAATTGAGAGAGAAGATGAGTTGACAGGAAGTCAGTCTGCTCTTCACATCTGTGCCAGCAAACTGAATAATGTCAGTGATTTAGCTGACATTAAGTTCTAAATCATTGTTGCAATAACTGTTGGATTTTAATGATACATATGTAAGCATCAAATTATACATTTTAATTCTTATCCTTTAATAAAGTTTAATAAATTCTTATCCTTTAATAAATAAATGGGTGTTAGAGTTGCCCCCAGGGCATGTGGACTCAGGATCACATCTTTACGGACAAACAAAGTTCCTAACAGTTAGGAATCTCTCAAGTGTGAAATGCATTTGGTTCATTCCATGAAGATCACTGGAAATCATTTTGTTGTATGAAGGAGGGGGAGTAAGCAGATGACCCATTTGGGTGTAAGATATTCTCGCCATGTCTCTGAACATCAGTTTTCAAAAACAAGACCCTCAAATCCTACCTTCCTTCATTTCTCAGAACCTCTCACCACTGCCTCCTGCCTGCCAAGGTCAAATCCTGGGTCCTCACCTTCAGCCTCTTCTCCCAACCCCTACAGCAAGTCACTCTTCTTCCTCATCCACTGCCCATTCTAGAACCTTCTGCTGTCTGGCATCATTGCTCTGAGATTTGGAGTACTGGTGGAGATGATGGGGACCATAGCCTTCCCCAGCCATCCCTTGATGTCACCTTAATCATTTACCATTATTACCAAGCCTGTGTCTTTTTGTCCCCTGCTCTCGGTGGCTAGAACTTTGCAGATGTCCCCACAGTCTTGGTGGTGTGTGTTAGTCTCTGCAGACGTCCCACTGCACAGGAAGGTGCAGTCCCACCAGGTCCCTTCGGCTCCAGAAGAGCACGGCTGGCATGCTGTGCCCACCTCCAGGCACCTGGATGTGTGTTTGGAATATTCTGCCTCCTTAGCCCTTCCTTTTCTTGGTTCTCTGAAAGCTGTTCCTCACTCTTGGTCTGATCAAGGGACCCCCCTCAGTATTCCCAGGAATCTCGCAATTTCCCACTATCTCCCCCTCTGGCCCACCCCCCAAGTCGGTGCTGTCTCCAGCCCCGGCGGGAGGCTCCGGGTGACCAAATCAAACAGAATGGCTTTGGTTTGAGCAGATCCTGCAGCAGGGCTCAGCAAGTACTAGCACACAGTAGGCCCAGCCTGCCCAGACTCTTCCACCATGGGCAGGCCACCTTCCAGAGCCCGGGAAGGAGGCCTGGGGCAGCCCCCTGTTGCCAAGAACAGAGAGGCCGCCAAGGAAGTTCTGCTCTGGGTCACACCCACCTCTGGGTGGCTGCCAATCTCCCTGCCAGAAACCGCAGGCCAGGCTGGAGCTGCCCAGAGTCCCGGCCACGGGGCTGAGGAGGGCTTGGGTCAGGTCTGCAAAGGGGGTGTTTGCTGGACGCTTCTGGTATCGACAGCCCCCTGGGTGGGGCAGGGGCTCTGAGCAGGGCTGGAGCAGCTATGGCAGCAGCTTGAGCTAACGTACTTGTGCTGGAAGGAGCTAGCGAGGGCCCGCCAGCCTGTCACAGGCTCTTGGCGTTGGCACTGCCTCTGGCTACACACACACACACACACCACACGCACACACACGCACTGGCAGGCACCCTGTGGTGGTCTCCACGGTCTCACACTCAGGTAAATGGGCTCATCATGGGGACTGTGAGGATGGGGAGAGGGGCAAGGAATGAACAGGCCAGCGTAAGTGTGTGTGTGTGTGTGTGTGTGTGTGTGTGTGCAAGTGTGTGTGCCTGGGAGTGACCTCACAGCCGCCGGAACATAAAGACTCACAGGTCCTGCCTCCCAGGCTCCAAGCTGGCTCCGCGGGGCACAGGGACATGAGAGGCACAGCACAGACCCAGCTCCTGGCCTTCTCCCTCCTCTGCCTGCTCTCAAAGGTAAGGGGGCCGGGCCCTGAATGCGCCCCGACGTCCTCAGTGTGGGGGGTGGGTGTAAATGTACAGCGTGAGCTCCGCAGCTCACCAGGGGCACAGTGTGGCCTTTATGCCCAAGCCCAGCTCCCTGCCTGGTCCCAGACATGGCCTCTTTCTAGCTCTGCTGTGGGACCTCAAGCAAGTCCCTTTTCTAGTCTGAGCCTCAGCTTCTGCCTCCGTTGAATGGGCGTGAGGCTCATGAGGCCTCTGAGGAGACCACTCATGACAACCTCCTCCAACACTGAGCACAGGCCCTGGGACCCCATGAGTGTTCAGAAGACACCTCCAGTCCCCACAACGCCTCTTCAAAGACAGGGCATTCTAGACAGGAGGAGCTTTACCTATGTCCAGGCCAGGGCTGGGATGGACGCTGGAGTCTAACTGACCAGAAAGTCTACAATGTGAGGACACTGTGCTGCGGGGGCCCTCAGGTGAGGGTTGGCTGCTGGAGAGGCCCAGGGACCCCTCTGTGATCCCTCCTCCCTCTGTGCATTTCCACAGGGCTTGTGGGCCACCCACTTTGCCTAATGTGCATAACAATCCCAGAAGGGATTATAGCCCCCGTTTTAATCAAGTGAGGCTCAGAGAGGAGAAGCAACAGTTCAGAGCCACAGAGCAAAGAAACGTGAGAGTAGAAGAAAATGGAGCAGTGGGGCAGACAGGCCTGGGGGTGTGTGAAGTGGGGTCCCAGCCTGAGCCTCCCACCCTAACCTGTCCAGTGCCACAGCTGCCAAGCTGGGTCACCTCCTCAGCAAATGCTGAATTCTTGGAGCCAGGGAGGTTGGTCCCTGAGGAGCCAAGGTCTTGGTGTATTTTTATGCTCCTTGGAGGCACATGGGGGGTGGCAGCTTCTCCTCCAAGGCCCGAGCAGTCTCACCAGTATCCCGGGCCTGCTGCTGGCTCTCCCCAAGGGATTGGGGACATGATACCAGGGCATGTGGCTTGGGTAGTTGGAGCAGGGCCCCAGGTTTTGGGAGGAAGAGGGGCCCGGGATTATGAAAACCAAGGTAACCCTCCTGGCTCGTGCTGCAGGCGGGCTTCTTCCCTGTCCCAGGAAACCACTGAGCATCCTGCAGAGAGACCCAGGGACTTGGCCATGGCCAACATGTGAAGCCACAAGCACCCACAGAAACAGAATTCCAAGTCTCCCAGGCAGGCGTGGGCTCCTGGGCTCCAGGCGGGGAATACAGGCAGGAGGCAGAGAGACCTGGAAACAAGCAGGGTCCTTGGAGGAGCTGACCACGACCTCACTTAATCACTCAGGAGAGGTGGTCTCCGACCACCAGATAGGGGAGGAGACTGAGTTCCACCTCCAGATCACAAAGCAGCCAGGCTACTTACTGTAAGTCAAGGCAGGAAGTAGACCCAGTACCCTCGGGTAGCCACGCAAGGCTCTGGGCACACCTGGAGTGACCAGACGACTGGAAGTTAGGGCCAGAGTGCATGGGGTGGGTCCTGAGGAACGCCAGCAAGGGCACGTCCTTCCGTGGCTGTGCCAAAATACCCTCCTGACTTATCCTTCTTGAACAAATAGAGCCTAAGCTGGCATCTGAGTCCCTAGAGGTCAAGAGCAACTGAGAGCTCGGGCCTTGGATTCCACGAGCCTGGACCCTGGTCCTGGTTCCACTACTTTGGCTGTGCATTTCCTCATCTTTCAAATGGACATGTGAATGGCAGTTCACTGGAGGGTCAGATCGGATGACACAGTATCGCCCTCCCAGGTGGCATGTCTGGTGTGGCAGGTGGTAGTGAGCTGTCGTCACTGACGTCATCAACAGATTCCCCCGGGTCTCAGGGCCTGCAGAAGGCAGCAGAGCTGGCTGGGTAGAGGGAGCCCACAGAGGGGCCCGGTGCTCAGTAGAAGGCTGTCTCTTGGCACCCTTATTTTCGGGTGAAGGGACCCAGGAGCCAATTCTGATCCATGTCCCCACCATCCACAACAAAAGGAGTGGGCCTCTGGTTTGGAGAGCTCCAAAGTCAGCCTTTTCCTTCTCAGGTCAATTCTGTATGCGTCACCTCTGGATCCATCAGCCCAGACTCAGATGATCAAGAAGGTCCAGATGCTCGTTTCTTTTTTATTTTATTTATTTTTTAGATGCAGTTGGACACAATACCTTTATTTTGTTTATTTATTTCTATGTGGTGCTGAGGATCGAACCCAGGGCCTCACACATGCTAGGCAAGCGCTCTGCCCCTGAGCCCAGCCCAGCCCCGCCCAGATGCTCATTTCTGATGAGCTCCCAGGGGAGGCTGTGCTACTGGACTAGACCACCTGGAAGGACGAGGCGAGGCCCCTCCTCTAGAATCCCAAGTTCTGCTGGGAGTTCTGTCGTAGGTAGGAGCCAGGTGGTGGCCTCCTCTGCCACCCAAACCAGAGGCTGGCCAGCCAGCGTAGGTGGCCCCTGCAGGTCAGGGTGGGAGCTGCAAGCAACGAAAGCCTGTTTATGGGACCTGGGGCCCCAGGGGAGGGTCAGGGTACGGAATAGGGTGACCTGGTCATTGCCTGCTTTGGGTCACAAGAGAGATGTGACATCATTCGTTTTCTTAGCCCAAACTGCAAATCTTCCCTCCTCTGGAAAATACCCTCTAGTCCCCACAAAGTCTGCAGAGAATCAGTCCCCACAGAAGGGACGCAGTTGTTAATGGACCTTTATTTTATTCATTTATTTACATGTGGTGCTGAGGATTGAACCCAGGGCCTCACATGTGCTAGGCAAGCGCTCAACCACTGAGCCTCAGCCCCAGCCCCTCAGGGGACACCTTGAGCTATGCCTACCTCTTGGACCCCACCTTCAAATGCACATGCAGGGAGCACTTGGCATCTGGCTTATGGTCTGGTTGTTTCTTTGTCCTGGGTGGGAAGGGGCAGTTGGGTCACTTGGGTTGATACCTTGAGCCTGCCACTGGCAGGGTGGGTCCCTGGCCCGGGGTTTTCCCTACCACAGGAAAAGCCTACCAAACTGGGTTTCTAGGTCCACATGGGGGAAGCAGAGTTGGGCCTGACCCCAGCCCTGCAGTGGACACTCTGGCTTTTGGAGAGTCCCTTCCCCTTTCTGAAGCTCAGCTTCCCCATCTGTACACGGTGGGGTGGGGGTTAGCCCAGGGCAAAGGGGCTGAATACCTATCTGTGCTCTGGAAACCCTGGGCAGCTTGTCAAGTATACAGATTCCAGGGTCCTGCCACTGGGGCTTCTGATTTGCTAAGACTCAGAGGGGTCTTAGGAGTCTCTTGGCTGGTGTGATGTGCATTCAGGGTTGGGAAACATACTTGGATTGTTTCAAAGACCAAAAGTGTTCATGGTACTTTTTGAGTTAATCAGCCTTCAAGCGAAGTATCCACGTGCTGGAAAATGTGCCATGTACTGTGCGGTTTAATCCTGGAGCTGTCGCTCATGCATTCCTATTTGCTCATAGAGGGCAGGGGCAAAGCCTGTCATTGTAATTAACAAAGATGATGATGGAGCTAAATGCATTGAGCACCTATTATGTGCTACAGGTTTGACTCGAGTCATTTCAGGCATCCCTCACGGCAAGCCTCTGAGTCAGATATCACCGTTGGTCCCGTTGCACAGGTGAGGAAACCCAGGCTCAGAGAGCTTGGTAACTTTCCCAGGATCACTCAGCTGATAAGGGGCAGAGTTCTTGCTCATGACCACGATGCCACACTGCCTCTTAGGGAGTGCCTGGAGACTGCTGGGGTTCAAGGTCAGGTCTACTGACTCTGAGGCCAAGGCATGGACCCCACCCTGATCAGCCTGGCAGAGAGGTGGCCAGTATGAGGGTTTCATTGTCTACCTCGGGGCTGAGCAAGGTTTCTGTCTCTTCAGGTGTGTGCCCAGCTGTGCCCGACACCTTGTGCCTGTCCCTGGCCACCACCCCGATGCCCGCTGGGGGTGCCCTTAGTGCTGGATGGCTGTGGCTGCTGCCGGGTCTGTGCACGGCGCCTGGGGGAGCCCTGCGACCACCTCCACGTCTGCGACTCCAGCCAGGGCCTGCTCTGCCAGCCTGGAACGGGCCCCGGTGGCCCAGGGGCAGTGTGCCTCTGTAAGCAGGTTTGCGGGACTCACAGAGGGTGTGGGGAGGTCAAGGCCACTGCCCGAGTCAGAGAAAGCCCTCCGCCTCGTCCTTCTTACAGCCTCCTGCAGGTGCACCTTCCAGCCAGCTGGACCTGGGACCCTCCGCCGCTCCCTGGGCCTACTTCCTAGTGTCCTCTTTGACCTTCCTTGGCCTGCCCACCTGAAGGCCCCTCTCAGCCTTTACCTGCCCAAATCGTAGCCAGCCTTCACAGCCCAGCCCTGCCTGGGAAGCCGCCCAGACTCTGCAGCCCAGAAGCCGCTATCCTCTTCTGAGAGTCCTAGTGACACTGGGGAAATAAAACGCAGCCCCTTATTTAGGGCAGGGTGGGCACTGTGTGAAGCACTTACTGCACAAGTCATGATCCTCCTAGTGAGGCAGGGGACAGGATGTCCTTTCAGACCCATTTTATAAACGAGGAACTGAGGCCCAGAGATGCTAGCTGACACACTTCACGTCACTCAGCTTGGGGCCTTTGCAAACAGATCTAAGCAATGCTCCCTCTCGTCCTCCTCCTGGGTCACAGTCCTGGCTGTGCCCTTCCGCCATGACCTTGAGCACGGGCAAGGCCTGGCACCTGCTGGCACTGCAGGGCAGGGGTTGCAGTCTTGTTCTGATGACACTCTACACAGGATGGGCTGTTCCTGCTGCAGGGGGCTGTCCTGTGCCTGGGGGGACACTAGCAGCCTCCCTGGGCTCCACCTGCTAGACCCCATAGCAGCTCTCCCTGCCCCCTCAAATTGACAGCTGGGTTCAGAGGATGCCAAGTGCCCCCGGGGCACAATTATCCCCTGTGGATAACCACTGCTTCAGGGAAATAAAAAGAGGTTAGAGGTTTTTAAAAATGATAAGGCCTGGAGAAGGATTTGCCTCTTTCATCCACGTGCATCTCATACTTTTGTAAAAATAGAGAGAGAGAGAGAGAGAGAGAGAGAGAGAGAGAGGGGAGAGGAAGGGAGACTCATGAATCATTGAAAATGAATCCATCTGTAGAAAAAGTCTTACTAAAAAACAATAAAACAAAACTTATAGACAGAAATTTAGCAACAGTGAATCCTTGTTAAATGTTCCCTTCGGCAGGAGGAGGAAAGAACGAGAAAGGGATGATTGGTTAAACTCACAGATGACCACTATGAAAATGTGCCTAAAGAAAAACTGACAGATGTGACACTTAGCTTCCACAGCTATTATTTAGATTCTCCATGACATAAGGCAGAGTTTATGTATTGAACTGTGTAACCCTGCCCACGTGCCAGGCTTCACAAATATCAACTCCCTTAATCTCACAACAGCCTTTTGAAGTAGGTACTAATAGATGGAAAAATGAGGCACAGAGAGGCTGATCAACCTGCCCAAGGTCCCAGAGCTCATAATGGCCAACTGGGATTTGAACTCAGAGATCTGGTTCCGTGATCTTAGGCTCCGACACTCTTCTGCTCAACGGCACACAATGAGTGCCTAGTAGCTGGTACTGTCAATAACTTCACTAAGGGCTCTCCTCACCCACTCTTGATTTCAAACTCTTGACTTCAAACACCTGCAGCCAGATCTACTTGGTCTCTGCTCCTTCCTGCCATTCCCAGCCCTGGTCCGGCAACATGGTGATGCTCACAAGTTTTCATGATTTGCACCCAGTTTAGAGGCTGGAAGCTGGTGGCCTCCATGTGAGTCCGAGCCTTTATGGACACAGTTTCACCTTCTCCTGAACATGGAGGTAGATTCTGTTTTGCAGATGAGGGAACTGGGTTAAGTCACCTGCCTAGGCCACAATTTGTAAGTGACTGAAGGTAAAACAAAAAGAGAGCAGAGGAGGGTACAGAGTCCCCAGAGGGCAGGACTGGTCTGTGCCTGGGGGAAGCGGGGGGGGGGGGGGGGGGGCTCAGTGGAAGGCGTCATTTGTGGGAGGTTCCTGGAGAAGGGGACATTAGAGAGGACCCGGGAGGAGGAGGAGGAGGGCTTTGGCAGCGGGAGGTGTGTGGCCAGGCAGGGGAATTCCAAGTGTGCTAAGTTGGGAGGTGCCTGGTGACATCTGGGAGCACAAACAGATACACACAGTCCCTGATGTGGGGAGTGGCCGCTGAGGGATGGCTGCCTGACCCCCATCTCCAAGCTGATGACCAGGGAGGGCTGAGAAACTGGGCTAAAATTATCACCCCAGCTGATGTTCCTAAACATCCTCTGTTTGCAGGTCATCCCCGTGACCCCGAGGCCCCCGGGCAGTGGCAGCAGGCGCCAGGCTGGAGATCTGGGCTTGGCCAGGCCAGGGTGGGGATTAAGGTGCAGCTGCCCCTGTGGGTTCCAGGGAACCAGCAGCCACATGATCCAGGCCAAAGGGTCAGGGACTTGGAGCCAAAGGACTGAGGCCTGAGCCCGGAGAGGGAGCTGGCCCGGGTCTTGGCCTTCCCGGAATGATAAGCGGCCCCCGCCCCTTGATGGAGCGCCTCTGCGCCAGGCTGGGACTGAGATACTCACTGGGCGCTCGCTCACTTTACCTGCCAGGGCCCTGCGGCAGCACCAAGGCTCAGAAAGGCGAAGTAACTCGGCCCTGGGTTCCCAGCTTGGGTCCAAGTACTTGTGGGTCCTAAACCCTCCACATCTGAGGGTCTGTTGAAGTTTCTCTCACTAGACCTGGAGGCCTGCTGCCAATGAGCCCTTGCCCCAGACCCAGTGAACTGTCACCCAGGTCTCCAGGAAGCCTCCCCCCCACTCACACCTGTTTCTTTGCCCCCGGACAGCTGACATACCTTTCCAGGTGACTTTGCTGCTTGTCTTCCGCTGGCTTGGGGTCCCTCCAGTCACTGAGGTACAGTGTGTCTCATTCCCAGCTAGGAGCAGGCGGCCACAGCAGGCACACCAGCCCTCGCTGGAACGCTGGGGCGTTGGAACTGTTTAGTCGGAGCCTGTCACAGGCTGAGCCTTGGGCCAGACATTTCAAAGGGCATCTGAGGGTCTTATGTCCCAGCCAGGCTCTCAGCCAGCCCTGGGGGATGCCAGGAGGAACACTCTGCCCCAGCCCCAGTTTGCGTCGGTGGAGGAAGTGGTAGTGAAACCCATATCTCAAGGGCATACTTCTCCGTCTCCTAGGCACCTTCTATAAGCCTTTCATTGTGCTACTACATATTATCCACGTGACCTGAAGGTACAAATGATCGCTCTCATCATTGCAATTATTCAGGCTACTCAGGGAAGTTAAGTAAAGTGACCCAGAGTCACACAGCCAGCAAGTTAAGCCCTGATGTGACAGTGGTGACTGCAACGCAGCAGGACAATGAGGTTGTTGCATGATGTCCCTGAGTGTGCACGAATCTGCGTCTACTCAGGATAACAGCACAGTAGCCAGGACCCGCTGACCGTCTCCTTTGTGTTGGATTCATTTCCTACATCACTTCACTTGGTCTGTACCACCTTGCGAAATAAGTACCACGAGATTCCAATTTGCAAATGGGTAAACTAAGGCAAGGAGAAGTGAAATCACTTGGTCCACAGCTCAGAAAGGGCAGGCTGAGCTTTAAGCCTGGCTGGTCATCTGGCACACCCTGTACAGGGTCCCAGTGTCCTGCCTCAGGGACAGTGGGGGCTGGTGGGCCCGGTGCACGTTGCTGGGACGGAGCCCTGGGCAGTGCGCCACACCCTGAGGGCGCGGCTTCCCCAGGGATCCTGGCAGCTCTGCGGAAGGGCCACGCGGAGCTGGGATGACCAGAGCCCTGTTTCTCCTCCCTCTGCAGTGGGAGAGGACCACGGGGGCTGCGAGCTGAACGGCCGCCTCTACCAGGACGGGGAGACCTTCCAGCCGCATTGCAGGGTCCTGTGCCGCTGTGAGGACGGCGGCCTCACCTGCCTGCCGCTGTGCAGCGAGGACATCCGCCTGCCCAGCTGGGACTGCCTGCGCCCCAGGAGGGTGGAGGTCCCTGGCAAATGCTGCCCCGAGTGGGTGTGTGACCAGGCGGCTGGGCGGGCCGTCCAGCCCCTCCAGGGCCAAGGTGAGCTCCGGATGGCTCAGGCCACGGAGGGGAGGGGGCTTCGTGCTAGGACACAGGGACACTTCAGAAACGGAGAGGGGTGGGCGAGGAGAAGTGGAGACAGTGGAGGGAGAATCACCAGGCTACCTGAAGCTCGGCTGAGCCCGAAGTGCTGGATTTTAAACAATCAGAATGGAAAATAAAAGTCAGGAGGCAGAATGGGGTGGGGAGGAGGGTAGGACCCCGGAGCCGAATCCTCCTCCGTGCTCAGCAGAGGAATGCAGGATGTGACAGGGACCTGATGTTTGTAATACAGCAGCCCCCACTGCCAGCACATCACCAGTGCGTCACCATCTGGACTCATCAGAAGGAACTCCAACTGAACCAGGCAAGGTGGCTGTCTCTGGGACGTGGGCCTCGGACCGGGCAGAGATGGAGAAAAGACAGTTACTCCTGCTAGGAACCCTTCAATTGTAGAGGTTTTATTGTTGTTGTGTTGCTTTTTAAAAACCTATGGTTGTTGGGGCTGGGGATGGAGCTCAGTGGAGGGGGGGGGCACTTGCCCAGCATGCGCAGGCCCTGGGTTCCATCTCGAGCACTGCAAAAAAAAAATATATATATATATATGTATGTATGTATGTATGTATGTATGTATATATAGTCATTAGATGAATGTGGCTTTACAAAAAGGGAGGCAGGCAGTGCCAAGTGGTGCTGCACGCGGCAGAGGTATGCAACTTGGCGAGCTCAGGCTGTGGAGTCGGTACCAGCTCTAAACCCAGCTCCATCGCTTCCTTGCTGTGCAGCTCTGGGGGTTGCTTAACTCCTCAGCCTCACGTTCTCCATCTGTGCGATGGGGGTAACGAGAGCAGCCACCTCGTAGAGTCGTGAGGGCTAAATGAACGAGCACAAACAGAGCCCTTAAACGGCCCCAGCACACAGAGCGGCTGGAGCCGGGGCTGAGGGCAGCCTGGGGTGAAATGCACCTCATCAGTTCAAGCCCGGGAGCTCACCTTCTGTGCCAGAGGCAGGGTAAGAAACCGCTCCTCCAGGTGGACCTCACTGTACGTGTGGCCTGTGGGCGTAGCTGGCGCACGTACACCTTGAGGGTGACCCTCCGTGTCCACGAGTTCCGCCTTCATGGAGTCAACCAACTGTGGACTGAAAGTACCTGTTTTGATTTGGGTCTGTTCTGAACATGTAGATTCCTTCCTTTTTTTCAAAATTTTAAAATTGTTTTTATTTTAGTTATACATGACAGTAGAATGTATTTTGACATATCATACATACGTGGAGTATGACTTCCCATCCTTGTGGTGGAACGTGATGTGGAGTCACACCCGTCATGTGCTCATATATGAACCTAGGAAAGTCATGTCCCATTCATCTACTGTCTTTCCCATCCCCATCCTCCCTCTCTGCCGCCCACTCCACCCTGTCAATCAGATGAAACCCCCACCCCTGCCCTTTACTCCTCGCCTAATATGAGTCACCATCCACATATTAGAGAGAACATTGGCCTTTGTTTTGGGGGACTGGCTTATTTCACTTAGTATAATAGTCTCTGGTTCCATCCATTTACCAGCAAATGCCATGATTTTATTATTCTTTATGGCTGAGTAATTCCACATTTTCTTTATCCATTCTTCTGTTGATGAAGGACACCTACGTTGGTTCCATAGCTTAGCTATTGTGAATGGAGCTGCTGTAAACCTTGATGTGGCTGTGTCACTATAGTATACTGATTTTAAGTCTTTGGGGTATAAACCGAGGAGTGGGATAACTGGGTCAATGGTGATTCCATTCCAAGGTTTCTGAGGAATCTCCATACTGCTCTCCAAAGTGGTTGCACCAATCGGCAGTCCCACCAGCAATGTATGAGTGAAGATTTTCCCCCACATCCTCGCCAACATTTATTGTTACTTGTATTCTTGGTAATTGCCATCTGACTGCAGTGAGATGAAATCTCATGTAGTTTTAATTTGCATTTCTCTAATTGCTAGTGATGTTGAGCATTCTTTCATATATTTGTTGACCAATTGTATTTCTTCTTCTGTGAAGTGTCTGTTCAGTTCCTTTGCCCAATTATTGATTGGGTTACTTGGTTTTTTGGTGTTAAGTTTTTTTGAGTTCTTTATATATCCTGGGGATTAGTGCTCTAGCTGAGGTGCAGGTGGCAAAGATTTTCTCCCATTCTATAGGCTCTCTCTTCGCGTTCTTGATTGTTTTGTTTGCTGTGAAGAGGGTTTTTAGTTTGATACCATCTCATTTATTGATTCTTGATTTTACTTCTTACGCTTTAGGAGTCTTGTTGAGGAAGTCGGCTCCTAAGCCAACGTGATGGAGAGTTAGACCTACTTTTTCTCCTAGTAGGCTCAGGTCTCTGATCTAGGTCCTTGATCCACTTTGAGTTGAGTTTTGTGCAGGGTGAGAGGTAGGGGTCTAATTTCGTTTTGCTACATGTGGATTTCCAGTTTTCCCAGCACCATTTGTTGAAGAGGCTATCTTTTGTCCAAGGTATGTTTATGGCACCTCTGTCTGGTATGAGATAACTGTATACATGTGGGTTTGTCTCTGTGGCTTCTGTTCATACCATTGGTCTTCCTGTCTGTCTTGGTGCTGGTTTTGTTATTATATTAATATGCAGTATCATTTGGACTCTGGTGTTTTGATGCCTCCTGATTCACTCTTCTTGCTGAGGATTGCTTTGGCTCTTCTGGGCCTCTTATGTTTCCAAATGGATTCCATGACTGCTTTTTCTATTTCTATGAAGAATGTCACTAGTATTTTAATGGAAATTGCGTTAAATCTGCGTAGCGGTTTTGGTAGTACGGCCATTTTGACAGTGTTAATTCTGCCTTTCCAGGAACGTGGAGGGAGGGGAGGAAAAGCTAGACCATGAGCACCTCCTCACACAGGCGGCGCCTCCTGCCTGTGGGAGGCCATTTACCAGTGGAGGTTGGGAACGACAGCGGCTTAATAACCGATGTCTGTGGGGTGGTTTCAAGGACCAGGCCCTGGCCAAGCACGTCCCATCCCTTATTTGATTAAATCCCAGCAATCAACAGGTAGGAAATTTACCTGAGCAGAAACGGGCGCCCAGAGGAGTCCAGCACCGTGACCAGGGAGGCAGCGACCAGTGGCGGTGCTGGGCTGTGAGCTCCCCCTCCAGTGCTCACTTGGCTGTCTTTCCCCCAGGACCCCAGTTTTCTGGCCTCGTGGCTCCTGCACCCCCTGGCATCCCCTGCCCAGAATGGAGCACAGCCTGGGGCCCCTGCTCCACCACGTGTGGGCTAGGGGTGGCCACCCGAGTGTCCAACCAGAACGCCTTCTGCCAACTGGAGACCCAGCGCCGCCTCTGCCTGCCGGGGCCCTGCCTGCCTGCTGGGAGCCGCCGACCCCGGAACACCGCCTTCTAGAGCCGCTGGGAATGGAGATGTGATGGGCACGGTCCCCAGGAGACCACCGACGGCAGACGGCCCTTACCCATGCCTTTGGCCTGCATGAGTCCGGCTTGGGTCCACCATCCCGGGCCAGGAGGACGGGAACGTTCACAAGCTGCCTGGTCCAGCCGGACCTGAAGTTCGGCCGGGGCGCGTGCCCAGGCCCCTGCCTCCCACAGCCGGGGCTGGCCAGGGCTTCCCCGCTCTTCTGGTCTAGTGCCGGCTGCGCACCGCCTGGTCAGCAGGAGCGCTGGCGAGCTTCTCTCAGCTTCCCTGGGCAGGGTGGCACCACCACGGCCTTCGTCTAGCTTTGGCAGCTGGTGCTGGCCATTTCGCTGGGGGGAGGGTAAGGAGGTGGCCCACAGATGTTCTGAGATTTCCTCCTCTCTTCCTGGAGCTTTGCGGAACTGTCCTTGAATAGAGGGGCTATGCCTGAACCCGAGGGTGGGGCTTGCAGAACACCCTCCCCGCTCCAGGAGAATTCAGCGGCTGAATTGTTTGTGAGCACCGTGAGGCCGAATCACAGTGTCCTGAAGAAGCCAGAAGCCACTTTGCTTTAGTAAGAACCCACCTTTTTGAGCACTCACAATGTGTGATCATTGAGCTCAGCCCTTGGCATAGACCAGTGCTCCCCAACACTGAGACAAGCGGGGAGAACAAGGGTCCCTCATTTATTTCAGGAACGGCCTGAAATAAACTAAGCCAAGTGTGAAATACTGTTTGGCATCTCATGTTTTATTGAAAAAAAAAAAAAGGAATATACATTTTACAACCTCCTTCATGGTCTATCTGTATTTGTTTTTTTATTGGTTGTTCAAAACATTACAAAGCTCATGACATATCATCTTTCATACATTTGACTCAAGTGGGTTATGAACTCCCATTTTTACCCCAAATACAGATTGCAGAATCACATCAGTTACACATTCACATTTTTACATAATGCCATATTAGTGACTGTTGTATTCTGCTACCTTTCCTATCCCCTACTATCCCCCCTCCCATCCCCTCCCATCTTCCCTCTCTACCTCATCTGCTGTTGTTCAATTCTCTCCCTTGTTTCCCCCCCCTTTCCCCTCACAACCTCTTATATGTAATTTTGTGTAACATTGAGGGTCTCCTTCCATTCCCATACGATTTCCTTTCTCTCTCCCTTTCCCTCCCCCCACTCATCTCTGTTTAATGTTAATCTTTTCCTCATGCTCTTCCTCTCTGTTCTGTTCTTAGTTGCTCTCCTTATATCAAAGTTAAGACATTTGGCATTTGTTTTTTAAGGATTGGCTAGCTTCACTTAGCATAATCTGCTCTAATGCCATCCATTTCCCTGCAAATTCCATGATTTTGTCATTTTTTAGTGCTGCGTAATACTCCATTGTGTATAAACGCTACATTTTTTTTTTTTAAGAAGATGGTGTTTCCATCCAGATCCAACGAGGAAATTAGAATATTCCATATGTAAACAGGGATTTCTCATTAAGCTGATTCTATTGAGAGATAATCCACTCATGGTTAAATGCACAGGTCTTCAGCTCATGCTTGAAGGGGCCCTTACATATGTGCACGCCCATGTGACCGATACCTCCCTCCAGGTAGCAGATATTCCCAGCATCCCAGGAAGCTCCCTCTGGCCCCGTCCAGGCTGTCGCAGTCTCCCTGAGCAGACAGCCACCGTTCTGATTTCTCTCACCGTGGAGAGGGGCTGCTGTTCTTAAACTTTACATAAACAGAACCAGAGCAGGTATTCTTTAAGGACTGTCTTATTTCACTCCGATAATAATAAAAAGAGGGGATTTAACGTAGGGAATCAGTCACCCAGTGGAAAGGTCAAATACCTGGAGATCAAGAGGAGGAAGTCATAGCAGCCCAGTGGCAGAGGGACAGAGGGAGACCCAGCCCAGGAGCTGGCCCAGCACAGGGGAGGTGAACAGCAGCAAGGCTGAGTACCCCGGAGACCGCACACGGGGCCGGGGAGAGCAGCAGAGTCAGGGTGATGGGAGCCTGGGGCTGGAGGCCTCTGAGGAGAAGTGGCTGGGGCAAAGGTCACCCATGCAAACCAGGCTGACCCCTCCCTTTCTGGAGTCTTAGAGCCAGAGGTCTGGGCCCGGCCTGGCTGACCCCAGGAAGCCTGCACTTGTTTCCTCAGTGCTGGGTTGGGGCTGTCTGGGGGCTGGGCGTCCCTGGGCCCAGTGCTGTGGACACAGTGCCTGACGCAGAGTCTGTCCCTGGACCCTTGAGCTCACCCTCCTCCTCCTCGCTGAGGGCAATAGTGAAGATGGAGTTTTTCCATAGTGAAGGGCCGCGACCGCCTCAGCAGATACCCCTGAGCCCTCCCTGTCCTAACTGATGACTGCTCTTCCGGAACCTGCGAGCACCCATCCAGGCTCTGCAGGCTCTGCCCTGGACCAACCCAGCCGGTCAGCGCCAGAGGTGCCGGGAGCAGCTTCCAGCACCAGCACTTAGTGAGCACCTGCTGTGTTCTTGGTGTGTTCTATGCGTCCACTGGGGAGAGACTGAGGCTGTTGTAACAGAAGCCCGCTCACCACCCCCCGCTGGGAAGGCAGAGCTGCCACACCCAGGGCCGGCTTGGCCTGTCTCTCGCCTCCCCTGACCTCACTCTCAGGGAGTCCCTCTCTCCCTCCCTTCCACCTTCCTGGCCTCCTTCCCTTCCTTGTCCTTCTTTCTTGTATTAATTTTAATATTTTTAGTTGTCAATGGCTCCTTTATTTTACTTATTTATTTTCTGTGGTGCTGAGGATCGAACCCAGGGCCTCGCACGTGCCAGGCGAGCGCTCTACCGTTCAGCCCCAGCCCCAGCCCCTCTCTCTTGTATTTTTAAACGAGACCACAGTGTTCAGTTTGTCAGTTTTCACCAGCAGAACCGTCTGTGCGGTGACACTGGGGAGGTGCAGGACAATGCTCCTGTCCTCCGCCTGGAGGTCCCTCTCATCCCCACCCCAGGATCACCACCTCCTGATGTCCAGCCTCAGAGTGGCTGCACCTGTCCTTGAACTGGGTTCAAATGATGTCACACAGTATGTTCTTTCCCATGCCTGGTGCTTCCTCCCTCGCTGTGTGGGGTTCATCTGTAAGTGACAATCCCTCATCCCCCCCATGCCTGTGTGATGGCCCACTGTGAGAACACATTTCACTTATTCGTTCTACTCACGATGGACATTTGGGTAGTTTCCACTTTGGGGCTATGAGTAGGTGTCTAGCGTGTGTCTTTTGTGGCCTTTTGAAAACTCCTGGACATTTATCCAGAGGGGTGGTTGCTCAGTTGAGGCCTATATTCTCTCGGCTGAGTCAGATTATTCCCTAATATAAGGGAGGAATATACATATAATAGGTGCTCAAAAAATCTTGTTGCAGAAATAGTAAACATAAGAGCTGACATCTACTGAGTTCTAACACCTACCTAAGCCTCTTCTAGTAATGACTCAACTCGGCCCTCATCATAATCCTTTGAGGTAAGTATGATTATGCTCATTTCACAGATGGGGGAAACCGAGGCACAGAAATCAAGGAAAGAGTCCAATTTCACACCAGTTGGCAGAATCAGGATTCAAACCCAGAGCCCTGCTCCAGAGCCCCGGCTCTGCACTGCCAGCCACAATGAATGCCACTGCTGCCTGAATCCAGGGAAGAATCCAGGGAAGGTAGGCAGCCGCTGGAGCTGCCCTGGGGCCATGGACCTGAAGGAAGGATGTGAGGAGCAGGGGAAGTGACAAACACAACCTCAGGAACGCAGGGTCTGGGAGAACCCCGGGCCAGGGACAGACACCAGCCGGAGCAGAGATGAATCCAGTTTGGAGGCAGACAGGAGGGGAGTCCTGCATGTTCTGACTTTGAAGAGACAGGTCTCACCAGGGCAGTGTGGCTGCAAATAGGTGGAGATCAAGATGGTTCGGGTCTGGACAAAGAGCTCGCGTCTAGGCATTGAGAATTTGAGTCCCTGCGCAGAGAGGGTGCGGATCGTCAGCCTGGCTGAGCTGGTTTCCCATCAGAAATCATAAATGGTCCCTGTGGATGTCCCTTTTGCAGGGAGCAGGCCTCAGCAGCTGCCTGCCTGGGCCATCTTGTCTTTGTCCAGATGAACGCAGCAGCTAGTTCCTCTCGTCCTGTTTGCACCCTCAGCTCCTTACAGTCTGTGCTCGGTGCAGCACCTCTTAGCCCAGTGTATGATTTTCTCACTTATCACATTTATTATTTACAGGCTGACTCTACAAGTCCTGGAACTTCTTTTGTCTGCTCTGTTCAATGATGGATCTCAGGACTAATTTCAGAGCCTGGTGCAAATCCAGGTTTAGTCATTACTACATGAATGAAATAATGTGCCTTGCTTGAGAGAGAAAACATTTGCAAATCATGCCTCTGATAAAGGGTTCACATCTAAAGTAGGCACAAAACACAAACAACTCAATTGCAGGAAAACCAATAACCCAATTAAGAAATTCACGAAAGGACCCAAGCAGACATTTTCAAAAGAAGACATACAGAAGGCCAACGGGTATATGAAAAGATGCTCAGCATCACTGATCCTTGGGAAATGCAAATCAAAAGCACAAGATATCACCTTGTAACTGTCAAAATGACTATTATCAAAAAGACGAAAGTTAGGGCTGGGGTTGTGGCCCAGTGGCAGAGCGCTCGCCTAGCATGTGCAAGGCTCTAGGTTTGATCCTCAGCACCAAATAAAAATAAAGGTATAAAAATTTTTTAAGGGCTGGGGTTGTGGCTCAGCGGTAGAGCACTTGCCTAGCATGTGCAAAGCCCTGGGTTCAATCCTCAGTACCCCCATAAAAATAAATAAAATAAAGGTATTGTGTCAACTACAACTAAAAAAAAATACTTTTAAAAAGTTATTAAAAATTTTTTTTAAAGAAGGAAAAGTAATTAAAAAAAGATGAAAGTTAACAGGAGTAGGTGTTTTGGTTTGGATATGAGATGTCCCCCAAAAGCTCATGTGTGAAACAATG